TTTTTTTTTTTTTTTTTTTTTTGGAGACAGGTTCTTGCTCTGTCACCCAGACTGGAGTAGAGTGGCACAGTCACTGCTGACTGCAGCCTTACCTTCTGGGCTCAAATGATCCTTCCACCTCAGCCTCCTGCGTAGCTGGGACTACGGGTGTGTGTCACCACACCTGGATAATTTTTAATTTTTTATAGAGACACAGAGTTTCACTATATTACCCAGGCTGGTCTTGAACTCCTGAGCTCAAGCGATCCACTCACCTCAGCCTCCCAAGGTATTGGGATTAGAGGTGTGGGCCACTGTGCCTGGCTAGCATGTAATTCTCATGTGCTTACTCCAGTAGCAGAAGAGATTAGAAAGACTGCCTTTTTCCAACAGTGGGAGCTTGAATCTGGAAAGTCTTAAACTAAAATTGTTGTAATTTCATACCACTAAGAAGCACTTTGCTCATGCAATTGAAAAAAAATTAAGTGCCTACTTGGGTGATTTCAGGGCACTTATAAGCAACTAAGACTAATTAGAAGCCCTCATAGCCTCTAATGACAAGGTAGGAAGTAATTTGCTCTATGATACAAAAATTCCTAGATGTTTCGAATTGTTTCACATAACTGGGCACAGGATTCCTTACTGGGAGCTTTTGCTTTCCCAGGGCCAAGTCCCTGTTCTATGTCACACATTGTGGAGGGCAGGGGACAAATGGATACAGAGCTTGGTATCCACGGATATGGCTCCCAAATAGACATTTGGGAGGACGAGTAAGGAAAGAGAGAGACAATATCTCAGTACCAGTTGTAACTGGAAAATGTCATTTACATAGAATGAAATGAGAACTTATATGAGGCAAGCTGAGAAGCACTTTTGGCTGAAGCAAATAGAAAAATTAAGGCACATTCCTTAACTTTTAGGTACTGTTAAACATGTGTTTTTATGCTCAGATCTTTCTTTTATAACTGAGTTATAATTGGAGAGAACAAAAGGATCTGGGCATGAGAGAAAGTGAAATCAAGGGGGGAAGAAGGCATGCAATGGGGAAAGGGAGGAGCAGGAACGTCCACTTTACTGAATATACAGTACTGTAAAAGATGGATCCTGCATATTCTTCCCCCAATCAACTTGGATGAAAACCAGAAATACTACATTTTTAAACACAGTTCATTTTTAGTTTGTCATGGCAATATAATATGGAAAAAAGTCAGGCCACTAATAAGCATTTTTAGAGTGCGTCTTTGGCAAAAATGTGGACCTGCAGCAATTCAGATGGCTTTCTTTCAATCCGGTTCAAAAATCATGGCTCTGTAAATTTCCAAAAGTTTTAAAGTCTTCTCATGTCTTCTTATAATCAGGCATTCAGAGGTATGTGTTGGTTCTCATAGCTTTGGTAGAAACACGCTGAAAATAGAAATGAATATAAAACGCCTTTTCTTTAGGCTAATTTGGTATGGATTTGTAAGGCCTGAGTAAACTGGAAATTAGTACATTTCTTGAGATAATACAAATTAATGTGGGTAGAACAGCAGATTCAGAAAAAAAAAAAAAAGGTTAGCATTGTAGTCCCAACTTTTGCAAAAGACATCAAGTAAGGCCACCAATAGAGGAACCAAGTTTCTTTTTCAGGTTCCCTGGGGTGGTTTCCTATCAGCTTCACATTCATGAGCTGGGGAGATGTAAAATGTAAGAAGGCCTTTGACTTTGTTTTTGATATGGTCAGCAGTGGCGCTGTCTGCAATCCAGGCCCAGCATTCTCAGAGAGTGTGCAGTACGGATGCTTCTGGCTGGCAGGGAGGTCATGGCAGTGGGCTGACGAGTGTGTGGTGTTGGGAGGGCTCACAGGGTGGCGGGGCAGGCCTCCGTGCAAAGGGAATTCCCTTCTGGTCATGCCCTCCTTTTTGACTGGAGCTTGGCCGCAGAGATCGGCGCCATTCTCACCCCTGGATGGGGTGGAGGCAGGTCTCAGACAACCTCAGATAATTGAACAGCAGCTGTGACCCTCAGAACAGCGTTTCTTCTTTTTCTTGGGGTGGAAAATGGTGAGGATAGCTTCATCAAAAACCGCTTTGAGACCTTTCTGAGTCAGAGCCGAGCATTCCAAGTAGCACTGTGCTCCGATCTTAAACACAAAAGAGACAGAAGCATGAGAGGAAAGAAAGAGAGAAGAGCATGGTGGTATCAGCCCACTGCCCAGCCAAACACTTATTTCTGCCTGTCCTACAAACAGCCTGTGGGGTGCTTTGGATTATGTTGGTCCTTTTTTCTTTTTTTTTTGCATTTCAATTTGTACCTGTCATCCTATTTTATTGTATTTTTGTATTTTTTACATTCATTTATTAGCAATAAATGGTTGTGGATCACTTCTGGAAAGCAGTGAATCATGAAATTGATCCCTAGCCATTTATTCCTAATAATATAAAAAATATGAAGATCTAAAGAATTAGGAGAGAGTTCAAAACCAATGATATAATTTAAATATGTTTTGTGAAGAACAGGGCTGCATGATCTTGTTTTTCATATTCTCTCATTTGTAGGCAGAACGTGTAAATCATGTATAAGTGAAATTTATCTCCTTTGGTATGCTAAAAGGCAAAGTGTCAGCTTGGTTGATAAAGCAGCTAGAAAGAGAGTGAGTGATAATGGTTTTATAGGTCATTCTTGATTAAACTGTACCTCTTTTAAGGTATCCCTCAATAAAATAACATCTGATTGGCATGATTATTTAGTTTTAGTTTTAACATACTTTATTTATTTATTTATTTATTTTTGAGATGGAGTTCCACTCTTGTCGCCCAGGCTGGAGTGCAGTAGCACCACCTTGGCTCACTGCAACCTCTACCTCCTCTACCTCCTGGGTTCAAGTGATTCTCCTGCCTCAGCTTCCTGAGTAGCTGGGATTACAGGTGTGCACCACTGTGCTAGGTTAGTGTTCATATTTTTAGTAGAGATGGGGTTTTCCCATGTTGGCCAGGCTGATCTCGAACTCCTGACCTCAGCTGATCCTCCTGCCTCAGCCTTTCAAAGTGCTGGGATTACAGGCATGAGCCACCACGCCCAGCCTTAACATACTTTAAAAGGCATATTTTTTAAAAGGTTATGCAAACCCCACTAAAACATGTAACAATAACACTAAAACATGTAACAATAACAATAAAACATATAACAATAATCATAAAATACATTTACTGCCAAAGGCATCTTTCTTGTCAGTGTACAGTCTATATGTTTAAATGATAAAGTATTTCATACTTGCATAGAACTTCATTTTAAATATTTGGATGATTTTACACTATGGTGTATTTGATAATCACAAACCCCTCCTGAGAAATACACAAATTCAGGCCAGAACTATAGATTCTCATCTAAAAATCACAGACCAGTACAGACCATATTTGGCAGTCAGCTTCTTGTGAAGGAGACCTGAGATTTTAATTGTTCATAAGCTCAGGAAGAGTCATCAATGTGATGTTGGCATTTTACTATTAAGGACACCTGGAGAAATGACTTTATTTTTTGATTTACATTTTAAGAAAAACTTTGAAAAATTAAAGCAGATTCAGAAGAGTTTGGCTACATGGTGAGTTCTCGGAAAGCAAAGCAGACAAATGGCTAAAACAAGGTAGCAAAATCATAGGCCTATCCTGTCCCCTAGCTTCTGTAAATGATAAAGTGGGGCTGGTGCAAGAGAATATATAGAGGTGGGGACTGTGGTGGCTTGTAGCATGCACACCCCCTCCAGAGTGTGCAGTCTTACTCAGCTTCCAAGTGGTAATGTTGGTTCACTGTTGCCCATTTTTGTATTTTTCAAGAGGATTTGGAAATTTGGATTTTTAAATTTAATATTTATCAATTTATAAAGTATTTACCATGGGCCAAGCAAGACCCGATGTGGGATATGTTTGGCAGCAGCCAGCCAGTTTGCAGTGTGTGGACTAAATACACTTGTGCTTTAGCTTACAACGGAGTGGGAATAACCCCAGAGAGGTAAAATGAATTGCTTCTGGGCACAACCAGAAAGTGAAAGAAACAGACCTAGAATCTGGGTCTCTTGATACATGTTCTTTTCCTTGCTCTGTGACAGTAGCTGTGACCCCTATCACTCAGCTCTGCAAGAAGCTGGTCAAGTTGACAGTTGATGAAATGAGGTTGTCTACTTATTTCAAAGGCCACAGATAACAAAAACTAAGCATCAAATAGAGTTGTTTTGGTTGGGCCCAGAGACTATTTCCTAACCTCTCCGACAGAGATTATGTACTTTACATTTTTTTCCTGACAAGAGTGGTTACTGTATTAGCCGAAGGAAAATGCCAAAAGATGTTGGATGTTGAAAATCTATTTTACGGCTTTCATTTTGACCATGGTTTGGTTTTCAGATTAGGAAATAACTTAAAAATAATTGAAAACAGTTAGAGACAAGAGAAGAATAAAGGGCAGAGAAAAATTTCCTAATAACATGATGAAATGCCTTCTGTTGCGTTTTGGGATTGTAGTCAATGCTTGATTCAAACACATGTGAAAAGCACGCTCATCTAACGGCACACAGCGTTGCCAACTGAGTGACTCTGACTTGACTGTAATGTGGTGGCGCTTGTCAATCGTGCTGAAAAAATACCTAGAAAGTGCTGTGGCACCTTTCTGTCTGGAATACCTCTCCACTAAGGATCCCAAGCCTAGGACTGATTCTGCCTGGAATTCTGGGACAGCTGGGACACCTGGAGTCCCGCAGAGAAGCAGGGCACTCCCCCTCCTCCCCACAGAGTGCTGCTGACAGCACGTCAGGATTTGCCTTTCGACGAAGCAGGAGGAGCCCAAACTTGTCTCTTCCAATTCAGACATTTCTGAAGATACTAAAATAGCAGATAAAGGCATTATTGTGTAACTGGGTTAATATAACATTATGTTGTGCTGATAGAAAAAGTAGTCATCGGATTATGGTTGTGATTTGGGAAACATGTGTGAAGAAACAGAACCCAGTTATGAGGTAGGTATTGTTACCATGTGTCGAGTTCTCTAAGGGTCAGAGAAGAATTCATCCTGGTTCAGGGAAAAAGCACAGCCAGATTGCTAAAAACATTTTCTGTGCCCTCAAAGATGTGAAATGAAAAATGGTCTCGAGGAAATGTGGCTCTTCTTACAGCGGCAACTTCATCTGCTCCTTGGAGCAAAATGACCTACACAGTCAAGTATTTAGAAGCCATCTGGGAGGGTTCAGGATTCGAGGCTCCTTGTTCAGATACACATGCAAGCAATCTGGAAAGTGTTCTACCCAAATGACTTATTTTCAAGAAAAAAGTAGAGATTGAGGATATAAACTGAAAAAACACTTTTTTGATTCTCTTATGATAGCTAACACTGATTATCTCAGAAGCAGGGAAATTTGTCAGCGATGTACAGAAGATACGAGAGTCTGACAAGAAATTAAAAAAAAACAAACATAATGACTAATCAAGTAAAAGAAAACCTAGTACTTCTTCCACGTTGTTCCACTGGGGGCCAGGACAAGTTATGGAATAAGACAGAAAGTAACTGGGAGGGATCAAGGCAAAGAGATCTTCCCAGCTGTAGCCATGTCTGAGAGGGCTCATGGATTTAACACCAACTGTAGTTTGCTGAGCTGGACCTAGTGGTACATGAGCTAATTTCATTGTCACAAGAACTGTGCAAGGAAAAGTCTATCACCATCTTCATTTCACAGCTCAGGAAACTGATGCCCAGAGAGGCTAAGTAACCCCCATTACAGCCACACAACTAAGAAAATGGCAGAGATTCGAATTTGTCTGCCTCCTGAGCCAAAGTCTTATTCTATTCTTTTGGGCTGTCTCTGGCAAATGTAAAGAAATTGTGGCTGAAAGAGCAAAATCAGTGAACACAAGGGCGAAGTTGTTATGGATATAGTAAGCTATTAAAAGTTTCTGTTGATGAGGAAATGCTGGCCTAGAGTTGCTCGACCTGAATTTTTTTAGAAGCTAGAAATGTGTTTCCAAACTGTTAAATGTAGGCCACTAAATGGCATTAAAAATATCTGTTTGGGCCGGGTGTGGTGGCTCACACCTGTAATTCCAGCACTTTGGAAGGCTGAGGCAGGTGGATCACCTGAGGTCGGGAGTTCGAGACCAGCCTGACCAACATGGACAAACCCCAACTCTGCTAAAAATACAAAATCATCCGGGCGTGGTGGCACATGCTTATGATCCCAGTTACTCGGGAGGCTGAGGCAGGAGAATCCCTTGAACCTGGGAGGTGGAGGGTTGCGGTGAGCTGAGATCGCACCATTGCATGCCAGCCCGGGCAACAAGAGGGAAACTCCATCTCAAAAAAAAAATCTGTTTGGACCAATCAAAATATTTGTGGGGGTGAAATTTGGCCAGTCAGTTGCCAATTTGCTCCCTATGCTTTAAAGGATGCCTTTGCATGTCCTGGTCTCCCTGCCTGGAATTTTGTGCCCTCCCTAGACCCCTTTATTCACCTGAAAAACTTTTCCTCATCCTTCAAACCTGGCTGAGATGTTAACGGGTTCAAGAAATCTCTGAAAGCTCCTTCTCTGAATGTATTACTGTGCTACCTGGTACATTGCCCAGCTGTTACTGTGTTCATCCAGGTGGCATGCTTTTGTTTGCCTGTCTCCCTCCTCTTCTGGCCTTTGTAACCCAGATACCAGCGGTGAAGTGACTTTCAATGACCAGGAGACAAAGGAAAAATGGCCAGCACAAGGCAGGTGGCAGTGACTCTTCCAGTCAGGAGGAGGGCATTGAACATTCCAGTTGACTGATTGATGACAGGATGTTTGCAGCAATTTTGCTGCTTTAAATCTCACCTGTGCATGTAACAACCCCAGCAGGAAACTTCGCAGATGCCAAGTTAAAGAGTGACAACAAAAGGCACAGGGTGAACAAGATGGTAGGAGAGAACAAAGAGAACCCAGAGATTAAAAAAGGAAAAATTGCAAATTCCTGTATCAAAAAATCCCTTAGGAAGTCTGAACTTGGAAGATCATGCTTAGACTGTATTAGATGGAATTGGGGAAGAGAATGCACAAAGAATTATAATCTTAGAGCTACAAAGTGTAGCACCCGGCATAGCACCTGGCACCTATTAGGTGTTCAGTCAATTGTTGTTTAATAAATCTAGCAGCAATATGGACAGTTACAAATGTGTAGAAGAATGGGAAAAGTAGGCTGAGGATGAAAAACTACAGTAATAAAAAGAAGAGGGAGGATAAAACAAGTAAAAGAATAATGAATATTTATGATAAATTAATGCACACTATGTAAATATGGTTGACTTTGGAGTATAAAGAATTGTAAATATGTCTGATAGAAAAATGTCCTTTAAAAATAAAACACCTTTTGAGACCAAAAAGAGATGATTGATGAAAAATGCTTTGGAAATTGAAAAGTATTGAACAGAAATAATCAGACATGAAAAATCTGAACTTGCAAAGCCTTTAAGTTGCAGGGAGCTTTGCACATAAAAATAAGGGACCCCAGTATATAAAAAAGAAGCCCCACCCTTAAGGTTTCTTTTCAGATTACAGGAGGGAGGCAGAAGAGCGGGTGGTTAAAGCAGTTTTATATCCTCACTCTGCCACTTTCTAGCTGGGCGATCTTAACCTCTCCGAGCCTCAGTTTCCTGTAGAAAAGTGGAGATAATAGTATACACACCTCAGGGAGTTGCTGTGAGGATTAATTAAGACAAAGCCTGTAAGGTGCCTGGCACCCAGCCTAGCACATTATAAACACTCCATAAATGCTAGCTGTGATTATAAACTACTTGACAGAAAAGTCAGAGAGTAGAGAAACTTAAAGCATCTCTATAATTACATGAATTGTGATAAAACAAGTTAAAATCTTGCTAGGTTTTCTTCTAAATTGGATTTTGTAAGCTAAACATGATTCCCTCTGTCTCTGAGAGCAGTTGCTAGGAGAAAGCAGCAAAAGGCAATATAAATGGTGAACTCAGCCATTGTTCCGAAAATAAGTATGAAATGAGATGGGAGGCTTTGGAACGACTTCTTTTCAGAGGGAAAAAAACAACTTCTCTAATGAGAAGTGAGGCTAGGAAGCTGACAGGAAAGAGAGTTCCTGCAAGAAGCTGGTGCTAGCCGATGCGGACCTCTTGGCTGTGAAAAACGTGTAGAAAGGAACCACATACAATTCTTTATGGGGCTACATATTTAGGTATCTTAATGAGAGCATTTGAGGCTGAATGTTTGAGAAGGCAGAAGAACCTACAGGCATATACCCATTTCACCTGGGGTAAGGTATACAGTTGGAGGTCATTTACATTTCCACAATGGTCAGGTAAGCAGATGGTGATGTCCACAGAGCTGGATTGGAAGTTTTTTTTTTTTTTTTTTTTAGAAAGTGATTTATTTAGAGAGAGAAAAAGGAGAAGGAGAGAGAAAGAAACAGCTAATACTCACGCTGAGTAAGAGAATCCAGAAAGATGGAATCCAGGAGGGGAAAGCAGCTTCCACACTGAGTGGAAGGGAATAGAGAGAGATGGAGTTTAGGAGGGGAAGGCAGGCTTCCACTAGAGAGTGTGGACGGGGACTTCAGAGGGGAAATCCAGGAGAGAGAAAGATGGCTTCCACGAGAGCGTTTGTGGAAGGGGACCCAAACATGGAGTCCCTGCATTGGAAGTTTTTGACTGTGTTATTAGCCATGTGGATCAAACGTGCTTGTCTTCTCGGACCGTTTCCTCATCTGTGAGCTGAGACAAACACTATCTGCTTCAGAGGGTTATCATGAGGCCGAAATGAGACATTATAAAGTACTTAGGATCCTAAGAGCTCCATGAAGGGCTGGGTATGTCACAGTATTGATATTAATGTGCTTAGAAGTAGGAAGAGTTCAGTATCTCAATCAGGCGTTTGTGAGATGTTCTCATGCATTTACCTGTAAAAACATAACTGTATTTAATTCTAATGGTACTTAATTCATTTCTAGTCGAGTGTATCATGCTTAGTTTTAGTGCCTACAAGCAAGTTTTAGTAAGATAAATACATACATTTTTGTAAGTGAAAACTTTGTGGTTAATATTCTTGACTGGCTTGAAGAGGTGACTTCTGACTCTGCCTGGGGTATGAATTTTTACTAAGTTAGTCACTTAGAAAGTAAGATGGAAAATTTTCAAGCCTCTGATCTGGGTCAATATATTTATGACTTGATGAGGAATCAGATTTAAGTTCTGGAGATGTGCTCTACAGGCCTCCTCTCGCATAAAGCGCTTCCATCCTCTTGTATGGCTGCTTTGCTCACATCTCAGGGTAATGGGGGAGGCAAAGACGTGGTGTCTGGCAAATACTTTCTAAAACATTTTCCTAACTCTTCATGTTAACCTGTCAAGAAGGAAGAAAGGTCCATGAAAACAGTTCCAGCTCTGAGCAAATTGCGATTATCTGCCAAAGAGCCACTTAGATCCCCAACTAGTCACTTCTTTTTGGTATGTTATCCTTCCAGATGCTGTTTGTGACACAATCCAGGCTCTCTAAGTGGCTATTCATTATATGGTGAGAAATATGGGACAAATATAACCCTGCCAGATGCTAACCCAAGTCTCTCCCAAGAAAATCACAAATTGCCTCTTATGGGGTTATTTAAATGAGTTACATCCATAATAAGCAGTAAGATTTACAAATATATATCTAACGACTCCCTTTATTCATACTAAATATGGCAAGTAGATGTTCTAGAGGTTGCTAAATCAAATGATAAGTGCTTCAGCTGTTTAAATTCACCAAATTGCTTTCTTAATGAAAAACAGACAATGCTGGCTGACAAGAAGGCTAACCAAATGGCCCCTTCCAGCCCGACTAGAACAGAGTGGGGGATAGAACGCTTAGAGAAGATTCTAAACACATTGCACTTTAAAGCAAAACCCAGTGTTGCACACCCATTCCAAAGCACACAACACACTCTTCTCTCAGCATACATTTAAAATTCAGTTCAAATCTGACTGTACCGCTTTTGCAAGCTTCACACCATGCTCGTAAGTGAGAGGTTTCTCTTTCATATACAGCAAACGGGCCAAGGTTTTTGGGTCATCACGGAGATCAATCTGGCAAGAAAACACACATGATAAACTTATTTATTTTCTCAGGCCCTGCCAGATATTTTAAACTGTGATATCATAGAGTCTTTTTCCCTGTTAACATCTTTGAAGTTGCTAAATTTTCTTGAAGGAAGCACATACGCATGCCTATGTTATGTCTAAAAAAGTAAAGCAATTTCTTTGTAAATGTACACAACAGACTTTCCTTATGTTTTCCCCTTCAGTTACCCTGTGAGCAGAAGACTTACGCAGATGATTCTGTTGCTATTTCAGACATTTTTTCAAAATTTTCTATTTATTTCCAGATTCTATTTACAGGGCATGCAAGATAACCAATCAGTCTCATTACCTTACAGTGATGCCTTATTTGATCCCAAATTATATTACTCGTTATTTACTAGTTTATTCCCTGGCTTTGAACACACATACATATATATATATTTTTTGCTTTTCCATATAAAAATCTTCATCCTCAAAAGAGGTATGAAGATTTGCTACCTGTGGGGATATTCTAACAAATGCGCTGCAAGTTCTGGAAGACAAGCCCCTAACAGAAATTTTCAAAGGGTTTGCTCAAGATAAGCATTAATCTTCTCAAAGGTAGAACTTTGAAGATAGCATTTATATATCTGGATTAGATTTGATAATTTAATTAAATATTTTGGTTGCTTTAAAACCTCACTGTGTATGTGAACCCATGTCCACATGAATGGGTGCGAATGTGGGAACACAAGGGCTTGCTTGTGTCTTAAAGAAAGGTCTGAGACACTCTTAGATAGTGTTTGGCAGAATAGGATGTTCATGAGGCACCTAAAGCATCTTCCCGTTTTTGCAGCCCGCCCCACCCTGCCATCACCCGCATTTTAACCTGGGTCCCTATGAGGACGTAAGGCACGTGAGGCATGCAGTCCTTGAGCTCGGGGACCCATTCCTCCTGGACATTGTGGTAAGAGGCAGGATTTACGACGGAGAAGCAGATCAAAAACACATCCGTGTTGGGGTAGGAGAGTGGCCTCAGCTGGTTGTAGTCCTCCTGTGGGAAGAGCAGACAAGGGTTTGTACAGCCTGTGTCAGGGGTGTCCCATATGGTTCCACAGTCAGATTGCAGGTAAGATCCCACTATAGCACACTGGGATCCTGTTTCTTCCCCTACCCTAGAATCTGGTAGTTCTCTCTCTACTAGAACTAAAAGAGCCATCAGTCAGAAAAACACCTTCTTTTTGCATACAGAGATTATGTATTGCTGTATTGCCCCTTCTTATTTTTTATTTTTATTTTTTTTTGAGATGGAGTTTTCTTCTTATTGCCCAGGCTGGAGTGTAATGGTGCAATCACAGCTCACTGCAACCTCTGCCTCCCAGGGTCAAATGATTTTCCTGCCTCAGCCTCCCTGGGATTACAGGCATGTACCACCATGCTCGGCTAATTTTGTATTTTTAGTAGAGAAGGGGTTTCTCCATGTTGGTCAGGCTGGTCTCGAACTCCCGACCTCAGGTGATCCGCCCGCTGAGATGGGTGGATTACTGGGATTACAAAGTGCTGGGATTATAGGCATGTGCCACTGCATCCGGCCTTTTAGTATTGCCCCTTCTTAAGATGAACTTAAGAATATTTTTAACAGTTTTATTGAGATGTAATTTACATACCATAAAGTTCACCCATTTATTATTTTTAAATGGTATACATTTAAGGTGTACAATAAGGTTTTTGATACACATATACATGCTGCAGTGAAACAAATTAACATATTAATCTCCTTACAGCTTACCTTTAAACATACATTTTATGGTCAGAGGACCAGAAGTCTGCTCTCTTAGCATATTCCCAGTATGCAATGTAGTATTATTAACTATAGTTATCATGCTGTACATTGCAGCTGTAGACTTACTCACCCTAGCTAACTGCCGCTTTGAACCCTTGATCCTGTCTTACTTGCCTCTGGTAACAACAGTTCTACTCTCTGTTTCTATGTATTCAAAAGTTCAGCTGACAAGGCACGGTGGCTCATGCCTGTAATTCCGGAAATTTGGCAAGCCAAAACAGGAGGATCACTTGAGTCCTTGAGTTTGAGACCAGCCTGGGCAACACAGCAAGACCCCATCTCTACAAAAAAATACAAAAATTAGCTGGGCATGGTGGCACATGCCTGCAGTCTGGCTGCTGGGGAGGCTGAACTGGGGGGATCGCTTGAGCCCGGGAGTTTGAAGGGGCAGTGAGCTGTGATCATGCCACTGTAATCCAGCCTGGGCAACACAGCAAGACCCTGTCTCAAAAAACAAACAAAACAAAAAGGCAAAAGTTCACCCATTTAAAGTGTACCACTTAAAGTGTCACATTCAGTAAGGATAACTGCAATTTTCTGTCATATTGGAATGGTGTTGCATTGAATATACTATATTTAAATTGAGCTATTTACCAAGGCACAGGAATCCTCTCCTCACATGATTAAAAAAATCGTATCCAAATTTAATTTAGCATAAATGAACTAAAATGCAACAAGAGAGTTATTGCCAAACTTGCCATCACAATATTTGAAGAAGTATGTTGGGTGAGAGTTCAGAGCTAAGAATTTGGGATTTGTTTCAAAGATTACTTAAAGGCCAAATAAATAAAATGCCAGCTTAATTATTCCCTTTCTAAAGATTTTTCAGATCAGAATATGCTCTGTGGAAGAGTTTCTGGTTACGGTAAGATATTTATGTATTTGCTATTTTAGTGGGAGTTGATAAATACAAAGTAAAACTTTGCATCATTTCAACTTTGGGAAAATGTTAGCAAGAACCTTTTACCGTATGTAAAATGTTTTAGGAGGTTCCAAGGTAAAACCTGATATTTCAATAGAAAGTTTGATATATTTTTATAGAATTGAGTAACACATAAGCCAACAGTAACTTCGTGAGTGTGCATACACATGCCATATTTATATACACGTCACATACCACAACATGACATGTGTCCTACACACCATAAGTAACTCGTATGTATATACACACTATATATGTGTGTATACTATATATGTGTGTATACTACATGTGCAACCAAACTTATATGTTCACATCTGTCATATACATGTATTCATAGAGATGAGTTAATAAATATTAACTCATTTATTAGGGCCATGACTAGTCTTCCTATCATTTCAGAAATTTATGAAACATGTATGTGCTCATTGCAAAAATGCAAACATTATAGAAGGGCACAGAATTGAAGTGAAAGCTTATTTTCATCCCTGATATGATCTCTTATAGTTTTTCCTCTCCCCAGAGGGAGCTACTGCTTAAATATTGTCCTTCCAAACATTTTACTTTATTTTATTTTTTGAGAAGGGTCTCAATCTATTGCCCAGGCTGGAGTGCAATGGTGTGATCACGGCTCACTGCAGCTTCAAACTCCCAAGCTCAAGTAATCCTCCCACTTCAGCCCCCCAAGTAGCTGGCACTGTAGGCACATGCCGCCATACCCAGCCAATTTTTGATTTTTTTTTGTAGAGAAGGGGTCTCACTATGTTGCCCAGGTTGGTCTCGAACTCCTGGGCTCAAGCGATCCTCCCGCCTTGCCCTCCCAAAGTGCTAGGATGACAGGCGTGAGTCACCACACCTGACCCATTTTATATTTATGTATGTATACAACATACACAGGTTTAGTTTAAAAACAAATTGATTAAATAGTTCATATTGTGCCACTTGTGTTTTTTAAAACAGTATATCATGCATATATTTTTAATATCAACCTTTCGACTCTAATAATGTATTTATAAAAAGGAATTACACACATGTGCACATGCGTATACACGTGAGACTGAAAGGAAGTACATTAGAATATTAAGTGTGATCAACTCTGGTTGGTGGGCATGCATTGATCTATAGTTTAGCTACTCAGAGTGCACAGAACACAGGACTCAGTATATGTGGCCACTATTGCTACTATTATTAAAATTTAAGCAGGCTGGGCATGGTGGCTCACACCTGTGATCCCAGCACTTTGGGAGTTCAGGGTGGGCGGATTGCAAAGTCAGAAGTTTGAGACCAGCCTGGCCAATATGGTGAAATCCTGTCTCTACTAAAAATTCAAAAATTAGCCTGGTCTGGTGGCGTGTGTCTGTAGTCCCAGCTACTTGGGAGGCTGAGGCAGGAGAATTGCTTGAACCCAGGAGGCGGAGGTTACATTAAGCCAAGATTGCGCCACTGCACTCCAGCCTGGGTGACAGAGTGAGACTGTGTCTCAAAAACAAACAACCCAAAAAATCTTAAGCAAAGGTTTTAGGTACCTAATGCAAAATGAAAGCAAGATGGTAAAGATGCTGAAAAGTAAAATCCTAAAAAATAAACCCCAAACCAAAAAAACCCCACTATTGTGGCTAATTTACCACATTTGTAGTAAAGCAAATAATTGGGAATTGGGTGTACAGCTGAATAAACGCTGGTCATACTGGGAAGTTGGGTCAGGTCTACTGAGTTGTGCCTCAGCCAAGTTGTGCCTCTGTCTCTGAGTGTGAGTGTGTGTGTGTGTGTGTGTGCGTGCGTGTCTCTCTCTCTCTCTGTGTGTGTGTGTGTAGCTAGGAAGGCAGTGGGGAAAGGGATAGCTAATTTATTGCCACCCTCCTCGCCTCTTTACACAACTAGCCCTAAAAAACAAACCTCCTTTCCCATAGTCTCTCTACTTCTCTCCTTTCTCTCTTGACTGTTCCCTTAAAAAAGCAGCTGTAAGGCCCATGAGCCAAGAAGTCTCCTTCCCAGGCTATAATCTACAGCTGTTCACCATGCCACTTGCCCTCTGCCACTGCATGCTCCCATCTGGATTGCATAAATGGGGGTAGGAACCATGTTGATTTTTTTTCATCCCTACATGTACTCTTTCCACAGCCAATATTCAATAAATGCTGTTGACAGACTGGAAGAAATGACCTCTACAGTGACCTGCAAATGAACACATGGCATTTCTGTGGGCTATTTATTGCAGTGACTTTTATTAGAATCACCTGGGGAGCTTTTAAACCATCCTGCTGCTCTGCTAATCAACTCCCTGCCCCACGCCCTTTTCCACTGTGGAACCAGCTCAATTAGAATCTGTGGAGAGTGGGCCTGCGTATCTGGGAGTTCTGACTTAATTCGATAGGGGTGGGCCTGGAGTTGAGAACCACGGCTGTCCGTCACCATCATCTCCACCATGCATGGAGGATGTTCCCTACGGCTTTTTATTAAAGGTCAGTCATTGTTTCAAACTCTTACGTATGTTCTTATTGCATCATCCTGATGGAGCTGGAAGGATGGTACCATTAACATTCACATTTCATAGAAGAGGAAGTTAAGGTTTAGAGAAGTCCCACGATGGGCCAATGTTACAGAGTTCGTAAATACCAGGATGGAGTATTTAGCCCAAATCCAGCTCTGGCTCTCAACTGTGCCCACACTGTTTTCTGCAGTTCAGAATTTTAAGTGACAGATTAAGCCTTTTCTTAGCTCACTTAGCTAGGAATCTTGACTCATATGTTACCCAGCAATCGACAAAATGACCACAGGATGTATTTTCTATTTGATGGCCTGCATCTGCTTCAGATTACCACTGGATGGCAGCAGACGCTGTATATTTAAAGCCTCAAAGCCCAAAACCAAAGCAAAACACCGTCGGGAGAAATGTGAGTAGGAACAAATAACTGTTGTGAAGAGTCTGAAAGGAGTATGTTTGTCTGATTTTTTTTAACCCAGTGGCTGTCAAAGGATTTCTATTTACATTATGGGAAAGTTGGGAAGACCGCGGGTTGCTGGGCTGACTGCAGGTGGGGCGAGGGAGAGAGGTCTGTTTCTGATCATTTACCCTCCTGGCCCTCCGGCTGGGTGGTTTCCGACAGTGTCGGTCGCTGGGCTCACCTCGCTCTGTGTTCTGGATCTCTACTCTGTGGAAACCTTAGTCTTGCTGTATCATTTCATCTAAAAAGATTTTGTGCCTACTGAATGTGTAGCACTGTTAAAGGAGGCTGTATGAATTACATAAAGGTGAATAAGGATTGGCAATTCAACTGGGAAAAGAAAATGA